CTTTGGCAATTTATTTTCTGGCCGTAACCAACCTAGTGGTCCAGCGATTCCTTCAGCAGGAACCACAGCGAGCTTTGCCATACAATCTCAGACATCAGTGCCAGACCAGAGACAACGCATATGTGCCTGTTTTTTAATTATATGTGGTGTTCTATTTGCCGTCCCCACTGGAGTGCTGGTCACATCAGGGATATCTGGTGGAAGTATAGCCACAGGTGTTCTGATGGGGCTGTTTCTGCTCTCTGGGATTATTCTGTGTAAGGTTTGGCAGCGTAGGACACAGGGCGCTGTGCTACAGACTGTTACGGCAGCATACGACCCTGAGGGACAGCCACAGTTTACTGCTGGGTAAGAACACAGGCTGGTTTTACTTAAACATATGCCCACACACACACACGTGCATGTACGCACACACACACACACACACCATGTTCATAATTCTTTACTAATCATTCATCCCTGTGATATTAAGAAATACAACAGCAAAAACATCATTAATAAAGATAATGATGATTAAAATCAGTTCGCTAGTTTTATACTAGGAAGTACAAATTCTGACTTAATTGTTTACAGTGTAAATGTAGTTGCTGTTAGCAAACAGTCAAGTTTGATGAATTCCTCTTGTACTTGACTCAGTTTGACTCCCATGAAATTTTCTCTCTCCTCTCATTCTCTCTCTCTTTTCATCACTTCATTCTTTTTATAATAAAAAAACTTTTTCCTGTTTAGCTGTATATTTGTGTTTATAAATAAGACTGAGATAGATGAAATTATACCACAAGGAATCTGAAAATAATAATTAATTTCTCATTACTTTTTTAGAGCACAGCCTGGGACAACAGTGTATTTCAACACACCTCATGGGACCACCCTCACATACCAGTCAGATGGTGCTAATCTCAGTGGAACTGCAACTTCTTCTAACCAAGACTCGAATGCAGGGGCACCCCCAAGTTACTGGGACATTACTCAACAAGATTTACAAAATGGGGTCCAGCAAAATGCTCAGTCTGGTTCTTCGGTTTATAATGGCCCAAATCCTGAACATCAGTATAATCCAGCGCAACCGTCACCAGGGGAACTGTCTCCAGGGCAACCATCTCAATATGCAGCTCATTCTCAAGATACCTCACAAACTGAACAAATCAATTCACAGCCACAGGCTGATGAATACCCTCCCCAGTATGTACCACCTACAGGTGAGGGACAGCCTACAGAAGCTCCACCCATATTTGAAGGGCCACCCCCTGAAGCTCCGCCCCCTACAACTGATGGACAGGAGCATCTGCCTGCCCCACCTACATATGAAGAAGCACAGGCATTGTGATTGACTTATTCTCATCACTGGTTATTCATGACTGTATATATATGTTTGATATATATCTGTATGCAAACATTAACTTGGCAATTTTGTACATTGCACAGAATTTTTAAGATTTTAAAAGATAATTTCCATTTTTCTGATCCAAATTCATCCATTTAGTCTGTTGATCATGTGAAAGGACTGCACATTTTCTACACTAAAATAAAGTGGTTCCTCACACGTTTAATAAATCAGTCTCATAGTAATACACACTGAGGAAAGTCATAGAGTGGCCAGAAGCTCTGTAAGGCACAGCTTTATTTTTTGTGGAAATGAAAAGTTTATTAGTGTAACGTAATTTCCCATTTATTTATTTACTTATTCATTTTGTGGTTTCAATGCTTGTAATGTAAAGCCAGTCCCAAGTGTATTTTGAAGAATACACCACATTCAGACCATGACCAGAGGTGAAGCAGAGCACTTGAGATGTTGTACATTGTTAGATTTGTTATTCCTGTTGACTACCAAGGCATGAAGGAAAAATAAAGACGAGCCACTGTAAGTTCCCCTCACCCCCAGTTTATATTGCAACTGACCAGTCAGAGAAAAAAGATTTCTACATGAAGTTACTCTTTGAGCAGCTACAAAATAAAGGAAGGAACTGAACACACCTTACACAGAGAGCATTATTATTTTTTGCTGTTTCATAGGGTATATTTCATATCTGTGAGATCAATGAGAACGACCCATTGACTGGGTTCCCATACTTAGATCGATCCATCTGGATTGACCTAACTCCCTGGGGGTTCTCGCTAAATTGCTATCAGCTCAAGAGGCTTAAATGTATGTCACAACTACCGAATCAGATTGGGGTAAAGATAATTACCCCTTAACAGCTTTACCAGACGTGACAGACATTTCAGTTGACAACAATTTGGTGAGACTCCCCAGGGAGGTAGATCGATCCAAATATCTGTGGGAATGGTCTCATTGGAATCTGTCCTGACACCTGTGTGGAAGTACTGGTATGTCTGTGTTATCATGACAACTACAGTTATGTCTGTTACCTTGAAACTGATGTACTAACAGTTTATTATATGCAATAATAAATATTTTTGCATAATTTTTATTGGCATACTATGTATGCAATATATATGGATCATTTTTAATGCATTGAAATGAATGTTATTGATGAATTATATCTTTTATAAACTGAATATTTAGTGTATTTCTTGGTATTTAGTTCTTTGATTTTGTTTATGAATTGTAGTTAAATCAAAAGTACAGGATTCATATAATAAATATATCATTGTTTACTTTTGGATAGAAGAAAATGCATATTTGTGAGCTTTATTTTTTGTAATGTCGGTTATTAAAAAAAAACTTGCAGTGTATTGATATATATGTGTTGGGCAGCAGCCCAAGGTACATCTTCTAATTGAAAAATATATAAAGAAAACAATTTCGTATTCTGTAGTTTCTTTTTACTCAATTACGGGAGACATGTTTACAGTAGATTTTGCATAAAGTTTGAGGCATAAAGGTTCCAGCAAATACCAAAGAAAAATATAAATCGGGAATGGGTTCTTGTCATCGCTCAATGTGACATTCATAGATGGTTACCCTTGGAAATAATATTTAAAGAGGTCATAGAAAAACAAAACATGGACTAACTTTGAATTTTGGAAAGGATTAATTTGCCATTGGTGAGAACGAGAAATTGACGTTCACCCCAGGAAAATCGGTGTTTGGCCAACATGAGCAGCAGTTATCCCAATAGGATGGTGGTCATTACCATTGTAGACTAAGCTTTGGATAAATTTAGTTTTTTTCTCACAGTTTTATTATCTTATGCGATTAAAAAAATTATAGTATGATGAAATCTATTCATCTGAATAATAATATGAAAAGGAAGCGTCTGTCTTGCAGCAGCGTAAACCCAACAGGTAGACGAAAGAACCAGTGAACCTAAGAGTATGATTAATAAATTTAATTCTAATTTTAGTTTGTTTCCTCGAACTAATATCAACTGTTAAATAATTTATATTGTGTGTATTCAAACTTATTTATATTGTGTGTATCCAAACTAATTTATTGCCAAATAATAAATTAATATTTTGATAAATATGAATAAACAAGTGGTTTAGCTTTTCTTGATCAATGGGTAGCCCTGAAAAGGGCTGTTTGGAGGAATATGATAACTTCCTACATATGCTGCATTAACCTTGCACCACCAGGAATTCTGCTGCTAAGGAAATCTGGACGGTAGGGGGCTGATGCATTTACTGGGGGCTTGTAAAGAGGACTGTTCGGATTATTCCTCTCGTCCAAAGCGGGCACGTAAATGAACCTAGGTTTGGCAGGGGGGCAACCGAGCTTATGTCTCACCTTGCTAATGCTGGACTCACTGACGTCAAGGCCTGAAATAAATGAATATACATTACTATTAAATTTTTAGATAACAACGACTATAATATAAGCGTAATAGCTAATTTGAACTTAATGATTAATATCAAGACTGAGTAAAGACTAATTGAAAAATGCATGCGTAGTACTAGTGCTAATGAGGATTTAAAATTTATTTTATTCATTATCCACCAGCAACTCGCAGCCATTGGACTAAATTAATGTAAGAATGTAACGTCAAGTTATAATAGGGAGAAGTCGTGGTCAGTAACAAATACTACAGGAAAATTTCGTCTCACCTGTTTTCTTGTACAGAATGCTTTGAAGCTTTGCGGCGCTGGTCCAGGGGTTTCTCTTCATCGTTTTTCGAATAATATCATAATGCTGGGATTCGAATTTTTTCCCTGGTGGCAGCATCCCTTTGGTTTTCTTCCCCTTTGTATTTTGCTTCTTGGCAGCGGCGGCGCTTTTCCCAGAGGCGGTCTGTGACTGCTTCTTGGATGTTCCTCCACTTGTTCCTCTCCCTTGGCCACCCTTGGAGGAAGTGGCTGCGGATTTCCCGGCAACTGCAAGTGTAGAGCGTGCTTTGGTGTTCTTCAGAGGCATGGCTGCTGAATGTGTGTAGCTTACCGCCAACCCGTGGCTTTTTAAACACACCTGAAGCCTGGTCCCACGCGTCACGAGAGCGTGCCCCCTATTGTTTACTGTGGTACAGGTCACAGTTGATTGCCCTACGGTATAATTAGTACAAAAATAGAGAAAAAGGAGCGAGATCGCACCGGTAGATTAATTTTTGATGACGCACAGATAATTATAGGGCTCGGAGGGAAGAGTCCAGGCGATTGATTATTTTGTACAGGTAGATTAATCATCCAGTGGCTTGATTGCAATCAACGAAGGTATTTTATCTCTTTTACTCAAGTGTCATCCACGGCTAGCCGGATGACACCTCTGATCACAAGGCTGGAGGAACGCACCAAGTCTAGTTAATTATAGAGTACAGTTAGGATCTGTTGATCAGTATCTATGTCTTCAGGTATAGATAACCTACGTGTCAACAACAGTTTTAATGGTTGACACTAACAGTCAGCTTGCTACGGTGACTTGAAGTTGACATTTTTTTTCTTTAAAAATTGATCCATTAAGACAGTAAGACATTTTTACAAATCATCATTTACTCAAAGAATGATGTACAGAATATTGATATTTCATAATGATGAATCTTGAGATTAAGGCCAACAAAATCATAGAAATACACGAATATCCATTTTAGACCTCTTCGGTATCTTACGTTTTTCAGATGGTAAATAAAACCGACAGCCAGAAGTGGCTACCAGAAATAAAAAGTACGTGGCTACAAATCAGTCACAACGACGGAAAAGCGGCGCAAAAGTTTCGGTGTAACAAGAATGGAAGTCCGCTAGGAAACGTAGTACAAGTTATCAATACCAGCAACCTTATTTATAGCTGAAATACTGGAAATAGAAACTACGATAAATCAAACAAAAGCGCATATAATCCCAGATAAAGCAGTGTTTAAGCACCTCGGAGATGGATCGATCCTGTTAGATCGATTTAGGTATGGGAACCCAGTCAAAATTATGAAGGTGGAAAAGATAACATGGCGGTGGTGTCAGTGCGTTCTTTGAAAAGGTCTTGATGAGCTTACTGTATGTGCGCAAATTTCAAACTGAACGTTGCTCATGGATTTTTCCCAAAAGAGACATTTCATGACTTTAATGAACATTGGCTCTTTCTATTGAATATTTTCAAAAAACACTGTGTTAGATGTCAGCTGAAAACCGTATTAACTTTTAAAGTAACATATAAAGCGAGCGTGATTTCCATTAACGCATATGAATCACTTTTCCTAGTTTCACATACGACAAAATAAATTCGACATGCCAAGTCAAAAACCAAATGAATCCCTCGTTTCACCCCAAAATAGCTTTAAAATGGGACCTTCGTCAAATGTCTTGTCGGCAAATTGTGCTATTTATCTGGATACGTCCCTCCCAAATCTTTCGAACCACGTACTTTACAATATTTCGATCACCTTTGAATCAAAGTTGAACACTAATAAAGCGTGCATGTATGTTTACTTCATGAAAATAAACTCAAGTTGTATCCAAAGTACTTTTCTTCAATCCCGTACATTGCGATAACTCGTTTCAGTAGCTCTCTGTCTACACCATCATAATGTTTTCGAGCTTCGTCGTCAGCCGACATTTTATCTGCACGATGTGATGGCGGGAGTTTGATCATGTCGTCTGCACCCAAAAGAATCAGCGTGTTTTTGGCGTCGTCTGCCAGAGTTTCGAAATATATCAACAGATCATAATCTATATGGCACGGATCACAAAATTTGATGAACGGATCCCAATGCATATTTGGAGTTTGGATGGCGTAACGCAGGAAGTCTTCAAATGTAACAGACTGGATTTTTCTCCCTTCTGTCTTCTCGATAAAGCGCTTCACGTACCTCTCAAATTGAGATCCGTGAGGTGCCACTTGTTCGTGATACACCGACACAAGACGGATCAGAGGGTGACGGACTGTCATTATTTTAAGATAGGTATTAAGGCGTGTGTTGATACCAAATTCAGTGTACTTGTTAAGATTATGCACGTGAATAAGATGGCCTGATATCCAGTCATTATGTAACGCAGATGTGTTCATCTGCTTGTTTAGTTTGAAATATATCTTCAACCAGGTTTTACTTGCTGCTTTTGCCATGGGACACAGAACTATTTGATAGATGTCTTCGACAAAGGTTCTGTCTGGAATAGGATGCTTCTTCACTTCAACTGGTGCTCCCGGTCTAATGGTTTCATTCTGATCTNAAAGTCATATCAACATAGTTTCAACGTTGACCATCAACGTTGATTCAACATTGATTCAATGTTGATTTGCCCGCTGGGTTGCAGTTCAAGCTACATGTACATGTATCATCTGCACTAACAGTAACAGAAATTTTATCATTTAGCCAAATCAAAACTTCTCTGTTATAATTTGACCTATTGTTATCATTTCCTGTAGGAAATAAATTGTCTTAACTATTTGGCAAACATTTTATAGTCTTTGAGGCAGTTCATAGTTCAGAATCAGTTGTACATGTACTGGTATAGACTGAGATAAATAATAATACCATAAGTAAAAATCAACTAGCAATTAAATTTGGTTTCATTGTGTGTCTAATCAGTATCATTTTGGATATATATATATTTCAGATATATTTGCCAACAGGAGGTTATGTATATGCCAGATCATATTATTACATAGATGATTATTACATGAATATCCACATTCACCCAGGGTCTAAGGATGTAGAGTGTACTTTCGGGCTCTGTGGAACTCTGAATGGAAACAAAAATGATGATTTTCTACGACGTGATGGTACAACAGACCCTATCTCATCGTACCCCAATGATTTCTCACTGTCATGGAGGTGAGGCACATATCACGCTTTGGCAAGCAGCAATTGGCAAAATGGCAAAAATGTTCCATTGACTATTCCTTGGAATATACATGGTACTTCTGGTCTGTTATATTATGAAAGACAATTTATGTCAAAGTTTTCTATAAGTTATTCATTATAATTATTTAATATTAACATTTTTCTCTTGTAATTATTATTTATGATCCATGAATAAAAATGATTTTCTAAAATTGTCAAAATTTCAGAGTATCTGATGTGTCAGATTCAATGTATAATGGCATCCCAGCATCCTCCAATGTGACCTCCATTCAAGCAGAGTATTGCAGATGCCCCACCACAGGTGACCAGATTGTGTTTAACAGTTCTCTTCCACTGGATTGTAGCTACACAGAGAATGTTGCAAAGTGTGCTTCAGACAACAGCTACTCGGTGAAACAACTTGCAAAATGTCGAAAAAGAAGAGCTGCTGCTGGTCATGATGAAATATTCGAGATACGTGAATTTGAATATAACCCAGATGACAGAATAGAGGTGAGATGCTTTTCAACATTCATACAGATAATATGAGTGAAAAAATAAAAGAAACAAAACACACTGTACATTTCTGCTCTAAGGAATTCAAGATCGAGTTTCATGCTAGTTTTCATGCTAGTTCCATAGGTGCACATTTCAGTTCTGCTGTGAATTCACATTAACTTTCCAGTAAAATATCCTGATTGCATTCATTATATATATTATGGGTAGCATTAATAATGATAATTGTGGGTTCTAGTTATATTACTTGTAAGTAAATGGCAATATCTTTGTCACTTAGGCACCATTATGGCAGAATGGTTGGACAGAAGCTAAGGCAGAGGAGTTCTGCAGTAACTATATATATAACAGCAGTGTTGGGAAAGCTTGTCAAGCAGTAGAGAATGTGGATTATGAAGTTGCACTCAGAGGATGCAAAGATGACATACATGTAGGTATTTAATTCCACTGGCTAAAAAAACAACTGTTAATGACAGTTACCTGGTTGCAAAAAAAAAAAAAAAAGCAAAATGCCCATCTTTCAACTGCCTATATGTTGGTGTTTAAAAAAGTGGTTACTGTATTACAATCTCCTTTAATAATGTTTATGCTTGCTGGACTTTACAGTTATGTGCAGTACATATAACAAATAGTTAGTCACGTGGTCATTACAATCTGTGTTAGCAATCTTGCCTCCCAGGAGAGGATACAGCCTTGTTGCCATACGAGGCGCTGAGTGCTAGCAAACCTACAATATTGTTCTCTACCTGACCAGGGCCCTAATTAACCCCAATGCTGAGTGCAAAGTGGGGAGACAGCATATACTATTTATAAAGGATTGATACAGCTGTACGTCCCTGGACAGGGTTGAACCCAAGTCCTCCCACTCTGGAGGTGGACACTCTAACCACAAGGCCACCTGCTTGATATGATGATGTGTATCACAATTAAAAAGATATTCTAATTATAATTTTCTCCCTTCATTTAGTTAACAGGAGGCACTGCCTGGGCCCTAGCAGCACTCGATTCTATCAAGGGAATGTGTGTTGGAGAACTGTCCAAAAATGAGAGCTACTGGGTAGTTGACAACTCTACAGGAGAGGTTGCTCTTCCAGAAGAGTTAGATGTCATCCAGTGCCCTAATGATTACAGCAGCAATGGTGTATGTACTAGAAATAATGGTAAGATATATTATACACTATATTTCTTCATTCAATATTTTCATAATTCTGGCTGGTGAGCTAGTAGTGGGGTCAAGTTATAAGTATAATGACCTTGCTACAATTAACATTGGGTCACTGTAAGGGACTAGAATGAATATAGTGTGCCAGTGCTCTGTGTAAGTAAGATACAATAATGGATTGGCCATAAATCTCATTTTAAAATGGTAGTTTGCAAGGGGGGCGTCTCGATAGTCCGAAGGTTCATTGGTCCGAGGTTCATTGGTCCGAAAAGTGGTAACACTTTCATCGATTTTTTAATCAAGGGTTCATTGGTCCGAAGGTTCTATAGTGAACATTCGGACCAATGAACCTTCGGACTATTGAACCNTCCGAGGTTCATTGGTCCGAAAAGTGGTAACACTTTCATCGATTTTTTAATCAAGGGTTCATTGGTCCGAAGGTTCTATAGTGAACATTCGGACCAATGAACCTTCGGACTATTGAACCTTCGGACTATTGCTACGGCCCCGTTTGCAAGCATGATGATCATGCCAGACTGCATAAATTTTCACTCATTTTAGGTACTAGTACCTGTGAATGTTACCCAGGGTATGTGTCAAGTGACTGTTCTATCAGCAGGGATACTATTCCTGACTTATATTATATGCCAACAAATGGGCTTTGTGACATATCTCAGCGGCCATGTCTTGAAACTCCAGTTTATGGAGGTCCATTTGTACAGTCATCAAGCCTGTCTTGTAAAATAGAACATCTCACGGTAAGTTGCAATATATTGATTTCAAGTAGTAATATTTTTTACATATATTACACAATCTTTGAAAATATTAATGACTAGATAATTACATGGTGTAACAATATTCTCTGAAATATTTTACATTTTCTCAACTTTTCACTAGGCATCTGGTGTGATTACTGAATATAACGATGCAGAGTTCGTACATGAAGAAGAGGTGATCTGCCCATTCCCAAAATCACGTCTAAAGAGGAGTGATATCAGTAGTGATGAAGTGATCAAGGTTTACAATATCAGCATCAGTAACAGTGGTACCAACTACAGTCATCCTCTGAAAGTGGCTGTGTATGACTCTAAATGCTACAAATGTGATGGGCCATCACAATGCCAGTTAAAGGTAACAAGATACATTTATATACTCACCAAAATAAAAATTACCCTTAGCAAAATATCAGAACTGCTGCAAATTTGCTGCAATATTGCTGCAAATTAACACAATAAAATTCTTTTCTTGCATTGCCACAAACTTTCTATTTTGCTAAGGGTAACTTGTGAATAAATTTAAGGTATGTTTTTTAGTTCTCTTTATAAAAAGAGTATGATTAAGTAATGAACATCTAACCATCCTAAGTCTGTTTTAAAGATGTCTGCAGCATAACTGAAGAAATATTACATCATACAATCTGTAAATAATGTCTTTTCAGAACCTTAGGTATATTTTTAATCATAGGTGTTTGCTAAGCAAAATTTAATGAACATATTGAATTATCAAAAATTAGTTGTAATAAAAACGTATGTGATTATTTTCAGAATGGAACATGTAGTATAAATGGTCAATGCTATAATTATGAGGAACAAAACCCCAGTGATGCCTGCCAAATCTGTAATCCTAATGTCACTACTAGTGATTGGTATCTTCAGGTATGTGCATGTAACTCTTTTCAGACAGCAACTGTAGTACATGTAGGACACTGACAAGTTAAGGCCCAATGTTGGTGTACAGTAGTTTTTTGAGAAAAGTCATCTAAACAGTGAATCGTCATCAGTCCAAGCATTTTGAGTAAAACTTATTTGCTTAAATATGAAAATACTAGTGCCTTCCACATATTGCACCTTTTTTCCAAACCCATGTTTTAATTTTTTTTGTACTAGTATGTGAAAACCACGTTAAAATTTCCCCAGTATTAAGAAATTGTACATATTCTTACCTGGCATTCGTTTCTTTAGCAAAGTCATCCAAACATTGAATTAATTGTCATCAGACAAATTGTTAAGACCCATGGTGATGAGAAGATGATGTGTGTAATTAATTTGCTTTAAAAACTACTGGTGCCTAATTGGATCCTTCATACATAACCCATGCAAAACACAGCGAATAAATACAAGCAGTACATGTAGCATGATGTGACAGCATCATTTGAATCAGCAGAATGTTATATACATGTATCAGTTCTTTATTTTCAGCCCAGTACCTGCACCATTGACAACCAGTGTTACACAGATGGTCAAGAAAAGACAGGGTCTTTTTGCCATGTTTGTTCTTCAGATAAGAACAGAAATTCTTGGGATATTAAGGTATCTTTTAAAAAATAATACAGTGTTTTCCCAAATTCATACGCCAATATATTTTATTTTACATTTAGTTTATTGTATAGGTTAATGTTTTTGTGAACACTTCTTTTTTATGATTTAACATAATTCAGGTATGGTGTCATGCCATGTATTTTCCACATAAATAAAGAGAGTTTTGATGAAAAAAATATAAATTAGTTAAAAATTAAAATTTTATTTGAAAAAAATTTTAATTAAAAAAATGAAAGTAAAATTGAATTTAAAATTAATTTTAAAATATTTTAAAAGTAATTTTATATTAAAAAGTTATTTAAAAAAGTAATATTAAATTGAAAATTTATTTTAAAAAGATTTTGAAAGTAGTGCCAATACAAAGTAAAGTCACTTTTTAAAAATTGCAGGCAACCAATAGCTACCACCAGCTGATCGTTATTCATATTAATTTCCCATTGAAATTGGACTGTTTTTACTTACTTAAAGATAAAATTTAGGAAAGCAAACAACATGTATTAAAAAGTTTATAAATGATACATTTCTGTCTTAAGAATGGTACCTGCAGTATAAATGGTTCATGTTACAATGAAACCCAGCAGAACCCAGCAAGGACATGCCAGATTTGTGATCCCAGAGTGTCAAACACAGAGTGGACAGATCTGGTAAGAAGTTCTTTCATTTCGAAAAAGTCATTTATATTTATAGCATGTCAATTTGGGTAATATTATGTCTAGTTTGATGAAACTACTGTATTATGACAAGAATTAATCTTCTCTTAATAATAACTTACAAACATGAAAAAAATCCAGATTACTACCTTTTAATTTTATTTCGCAGTAAGCTCTGCTGAATGATATGTTTGTATACTTTTTTCAGAGTGAAAATTGTGAAATTGAGGGGATCTGTATTGGCAGCCTTGAATCAAGAAGAGATCATGTGTGTCACATTTGTTCTCCCACCACTTCTAGAACCTCTTGGACAATCAAGGTACTATACTGGTATAATATATATTCTGATATCAGTCAATTATCACATAGAAAGGGGTAAAATTATTGTCCATAAATTGTCTTTTCATATCAGATATTAAAATTAATTAATATGCTCAAATAAAAGTTAATAAAAGATGCATATATGTGTTTCCAGAATGGTACCTGCAGTATAAATGGTTCATGTTACAATGAAACCCAGCAGAATCCAGCAAGACCATGCCAGATTTGTGATCCCAGAGTGTCAAACACAGAGTGGACAGATTTGGTGAGAAAAACTTATTCAGAAAAGAAATGATTTAATAACATAAAGCATTACTGTGGCATCATGTTGAAAAGATTAGGAATGGTTAAGTTCAGAAGGCGTATTCATTTGGTCAAATAATCAACAATAGTTGTCCGTGATTCATGTTTTGGGGTTCAAAGAAAAATGCAATATCTATTTCAAGAATAACACCTGCAGTATAAATGGTTTATGCTACAATGAAATCCAGCAGAACCCAGCAAGGCCATGCCAGATTTGTGATCCTAGAGTGTCAAATACAGAGTGGACACAGCTGGTAAGAACATATAATTTATAAAAGAAATGATGTAATAACATAGAGCATTACGTACTGTGGCATCATATTGAAAAGATTAGGAATGGTTTAGTTCTGAAGGTGTATTCATTTGGTCAAATAATCAGCAATAGTTGTCTGTGATTCATGTTTTGGGGTTCAAAGAAAAATACATCTATTTCCAGAATGACACATGCAGAAAATGGTTCATGTTACAAAGAACTTGTAATGGTGAATTTTCTCTCACTCTGAATTATCCATTACTTTTGAGTAAAAAGTACTTTTTTGTCCCCAGAATGGTACCTGCAGTATAAATGGTTCATGCTACAATGAAAACCAGCAGAACCCAGCAAGACCATGTCAGATTTGTGATCCCAGAATATCACATACAGTGTGGATTGTTTTGGTAGATACACGTAGTTTTATTTAAGCATAGTATATTTTCTATATAGATTGATTATCTTTATATATAAATATAATTAGTTTCTAACATTGAGCATTCTTGAACTTGTGAAGTGAAGATAAATTAACTGTTATTGCAGTGCGCTGTTATGTGACATTGTACAGAGTACTGAATCAAAACATCACTCATGTATTTTTTCCAGAATAACACTTGCTTGATAGATGGTGTTTGTTACAATACATGTCAAGCAAACCCAGTGGACAATACTACAGTCTGTCATTCCAGTACCACGGCATACAACTGGACTTCAGCTGATGGTAAGAAACTATATGTTTTGTGCTATTTAAAACAATCTTAGATGTGGCATTGAACTAGGCTTTCCTTAACATAAGAATCAAAGTGTAGTACAATAATGAATTCAAACTAATTAGTGTTGTGAGTCTCAAGTAAAATACATACTTCTCTGCTTTTGGCAAAGATACACCTTTTATAATTATTTAAAATGATACCTTTCAGTTACACTTAAAATAACAATGTTCCTCTTTATGTACCTTTTTAGCATGTGACCAAAGAAATGATATTGAGAGCACAGTCGAGGCACCTTCAGGGTCAGATGCCAGCAGCCAGATGGCAATTGTCTTGGGAGGAGTTTTGGGGAGCATATTGTTTATTGCTGTGACTCTAATTGTGGTTGTAAAATTGGGCAAAAGAAAAGGTAAATATATATATTGATATTTTGATAATCAAAGTGTCCTTCATAAAAGTAATACTTCAGTTACTTCCTTTACTGGTTTGTCTGTCTTAAATTTTTTCCCCTCAACATCAGCCAGTAGTTCTACAGGGAGGCGTATCCATTTTAAGGCAATACCAGTGTGAAAAAGAAATATTGAAGCATTATTGGGTAACTATTACCAATTCCAAAGAGTATTTTGAACAACATTAGCATCATTTTATTATTATTATTATTTGTAACATTAGTGAAAATATTTGGAGAAAAAGTTCCATTCTTCGTTTTAAGTCCATGAGAATCTGCAAAGATATACTGGTATGTACTATCACTACATAATTGTTTTAGGTTCATGACAGTATACGGCAGGGGTGTAACCAGGCATACGCACGGATGCACTGTGCGTACAATTTTTGAGCCAACCATGATATTATTCTCCATAAATTTAGTGTATTTTTCACGGAATATAATCGTACCTGAGAATTTTCAAAATCTGTGCGTACATTTTCAAAAGGTCTGGTTACGCCCCTGTACGGTAATGACTCGATCTTTTCAATTCTTTTAAGAAATGAAGACTAAATGAAGTATCTGTAAATTTAACAATTTCCCCCATTGAAAAGATCGAGTCATTACCGTAATGCATACAAATGTTGCAAAGAAAAGTGAAAATGAAAAGTGTTTATTTCCTGAATTGACTCTTTTTTTTAGGAAAAATCTATGTTTGGAATCCACCTTCCCATCCGGATTGAGCAAAATTTCACTGGTAAACCTACTGCTATTGGCAGAGCCAACCAGGGATACAACAAGAAAGATATGAAGAGGACGAAGATTCCACGTCTTCCACGCACTAGAATCAGCCATGCTTGTTTGTTTACATTGTGAAACCTGGTCGGTAGTTCACGTGCCTCTGTTTTCACTACTTTGATTGGTTGAAAGGCAGGGCTTTTCACTTAGATGTTTAGACAAAACAGAATCACAATTAAATATAGCATTTTTCTTTTTTTAAAAAAGTGTATAGCCCTATGATTCTTTAAATGGAAGAGCTTTTCTAGACACTTTCACTATCAGATGGCAGACTATTATTCCAATGTGTGATCAACACCAAAAAAAATTTAATTCATTTATTATAGTCAAATATTTAAAAATGCAGTACCTTGTAAATACATATAATATACAAATTTCTAAATATCTGTTTGATTTGGGTTGTGTTGTCTTAGAAAATCATCGTTGCCGCCATCTTCAGGGAAATGTACCAGGACCTCTGCTTGGCTCACCGGCAATTGGTGAATCTCAACAAAAGGGTTCTGATGTTGATATACATGTACGTTTTTTTTTTATCTATCAGACTTTCTTCTTTCCTGTGGGTAGAACCCGTGAAGATAAAATGTTTCAATATATCCCCCCTTTTAAACTCTCACTGAAATGCATCTGGTGACTGTATTCATAAAAATATGCCGCCACTGATATTGGTTTCATAGTATCATTAAAAAGGAGAGTAGTAATTGCAGTAAGGAAATGCCAAAGACAACCACGTCGGATCTTTGCGTATCGCCCTGAACATATTGTATGCTACCGTCATGGGGAAAAGAACCAAGATAGTGATCATTTATAGCACTGTATGATAAGCTACCTGGCAATTGTTTGTATTAATAGCTTTTACAAGAAGTCTTCCTCAGTTACCATTTAAATAAACAGTGAACCCCCTTCTTTCTGGCCCAACTTGGGAAGTTTCATAGTGCCAAGATCAAATTTGGTTCAGATAATGAAATGTTTGAAGGACAATACGATAATTTGATTTTCTTTTTAATTCAAGAAAAAAAAAAAAAGAATTATGTGATGATAGAATTTGTGATTTTGTGATAATAGGGACTTAACAAAGAAATCTCACCTTTATTTTTGTAGATGTCGCATTCCTTGGGGATGCCCTACAGTGTGTGGGAGTATTGCCATGGGAATGTAAAGGTGGCCACACTAAGTGTGATGAGAAACGCTTCCTACATGAATCCATTTTGAGTGTAAAACATTAATTTCCATATAAATATCAATATAACATTTTCATGCTAAATCTTGTAGACTGTAAAATTATATGTTAGTAGTTAATTCAATCTTGCAAATTCTGTCATGCGATCTACTGGTGGCAAGTGCTAGTTGTACCATTTCTATATGCCCACATAACGACTCTTTCAGTTTTAACAACTACATGTACTATATATAATCTACCCGTAGCAATTCACTTTTTCAGTATTCATATTAATTTAAAGCCTGTTAGTAGATGCGACATTTTATGTGTTGAATTCAATTTAAATATAATTTATACAGCTTATAAAATATTCATCTTCATTGCTGAGATTATTCATCATCTAATTACGTTAACACGCTGCCCAGCAAATTCTGAATAAATTTATTAAGTTGCTCAATTATTAAATATCAGAATTTTTTTCCAATAAGGGATGTTGAACAAGAGTGCTTCTCTTTGCTGGTTTGGCATGGCAAAAGGGCGTACTCCCTTCCCTTCCTCCGAAAGAGGAAGTAAGATTCATTAGGTTATGTTAGGTCATGTACCCCGCCGCAGCAACTACGGGAGCCAACAATTTTCGAGAATACTTCATGTTAACACTTTATATCTAACACTTTATATCAAAATATCCGATATATTCTTTAAAGTGTTCGCGTATTTCATCCTCAGTAAGACCATAATTCTTCAGGTCATATCTATGGCGGCCATATTTGTTTTGCGGGTTTTCCAGAACATATCTCTCCATCCTCTCTCTCCCGTGATTGGTTAAACTTAGTCCAAATTTCTCGTATATCCGCTTAACGACAGTCATTGGTGACGCTACCAGTTCCTTGTAATCAATGTCAATAAACCTGTGCCCTTCTTCTGGGTGCTCTTGTCTGAATTTTAACATTTCTCTCCCACCGTGTCTCCATGGAACTTTAAGAAATACCTGGAAAATATTTGAATTATTTTAAAACTTTAAAAGTGAAATCCAGCTGACAGGAAGTAAAACAATAGATTAGAAAAAAATTGGTCAGTCATTAATTTAATAAAACTTTAAACTGTAGCTTAGAGGTATCCTATATTGCGGGATTTCTGTGCCAAAATCTATTTTTCCTAGAGAGAAAAAAAAGCAATATTCTCCTTATCACAAATTATTATTAGACTGCCAAAGACTTTCCGTCATCTCAGACTGAAATATAAGGTTCTTTTATTTTTCGGATTGTATCGTTTAAAACGTCTTAATTGAAGTGGTAGCTATGCAGGATATTTAGATAGCAAATATGACACCTTTCGAGGTTTAAATATTCCCACCATTTACCTCGACTGATAATAGATTTTATTGAGTTGATCAGGCATGATTGATTATCCCACCCCCCTCCTCCTGCATCAGTAATTCACTGTAGCTAAAATCATAAATAATAATAATAATAATAATAATAATAATAAATATATGATAATAAATGATAATAATAAATCAATAATAAATAAAATTAAAATAACCTTCCCCAATGCTTCCCTGTCGATTGCCTTTAAATTAAAACCGCTACTCTGTCTAAAATGTTCAAGGTTAGAACAAGTGGACGCCGCCACTTCTACCGGATCCCGGTACGTGTGAATAAATAGAGCATCCGGATAAGCGTCCAATAAAGCCTCTAGATACGCGCTGTGAAGGGATTCTTTCAGAATCAAACGTCGGTTGTCAGGTGTTGAATCTGAAAATACAGTAAAAGTCTATTTCCAATAAATCAAACAAAAGTTACAATTTAGCAGGGGAGTTTAAAAGAGACAAACAAATCCATATTTTTGAGCAGTTATTGCGCGCTCCTATCAAAAGTTACCGGCATACCTTCCATCAAACAGCAGGTTTTTAAATTTCTAATGACAAATAGTACATAGGCCTACGCACAAAGCTTAAAATGAGGGTAGAGCAATATTCAATATTTTCAGTAACAAGGCAGAATATGATGCTGAAAACGAATTTGACAACCATTCCTTTCCACGACAATTATATCTTAATATAAACCTTAAAAGGTCGGTAAATAAAGAGAAAAGAGTTATTCAGGTTGCTTCCTTATATATACTGGCTATAGAAATAGGCTGCAAATGTACAACCCCAAAACATAAGAAAAACATTATACACATTATGGTACCTTAAACTGCCGATAATTACCATTTGGGAAGGCTGTTTTGAATATCGCTATTTTTACCAACCTTGAAAATTGTCGTGTAGAAATGTGATTATCACATTTGTATTCAGCACCAAATTCTACCTCGGAAAACTCCTGTTAATAAAACGTTTGAGATGAACCAAACCCCTTTAAGTTTAAGAGTTATATAAGTATTTTGTCTGCCTTTCCAAAAATGGCGGATTAATTGACTCAACTAATACGCAAAGCTTAAATTTCTCAACAGCAATAGATTTTATGGTCCATTTGGCCTACACAAACACCTGTTCCTCTAGAGATTTTCTAAAAGGCTTCTTATAACCATACCCTACCTAAGCATTTTATTGTAGAGGATCTTTACTACTCTGAGTATTTTTTCTGTAGATTTCGACACATTTCCCCAAATGTTCAAACCAATATATTATCAAAGTAATCGAAACTTAAGAAATGTTGAGTTTACAGTTACAGAACGAAAAATTAAAATCATAAGCAACTGATAAGTATTGTAAATATTCGGAAAAGTGTGACAGGGGCTGCACATATATACAAAAACTGCGCCAGAAGCGTAGCAGAGAACCTCTGTATATTGACTGGATAGGGTACACTTTTTTGGTAAAAAAATACTGGATTCTTTAGGAATAGTCATAAATAAAGGGTTAAGCGTATCGTTTTCCTTAAAACATCACAAAGACTTACATTCATTCCTGCTGAGAAGGATCAGCTGAAGTTGTTTCTTATGCAAGCGATACGCTTCAGCCATTTCGTCTTTGGTTCTTTTCATGACCCATTCCAAATAAGTACCGTTGTTTCTTGTGTAACTACTGTATGACTTGAAAATACCCATGTTGTTAAACAAAGAAAAACATTCATATGGTTCTTCAGCTGCAATATAGTGTACTGCTTTCGTGTTGGGAAGTCTGTCGTATAGAGAATCTGAAAGGATAAGATAGAAAATAGTGCTCTTACTTAATTAAAGATCATTAGGCGCCGTGCAGTTTAGCCAAGTTACAGGGTTACCACTTAATATGGAATATTATTTTTTGGCGAATAAATTTTCTACAAAATATTTAATTTCTCTCTAACTACTTTAAATCCAAAGCTGAGGTGTCACTCCATGTGTAGCCAGATGTGTTACCTAATTACCACACAACTCTCGAAACAATTGATGCATGCAGTTGCATGTTCTGTGGTCAGAAATGTGAGGGGTGGTCTTTTCGGCAATTTCTGCCCTTGTATAAAAACGCATGGGTTTTGTCAATCTTTGGAGCGTGTTTAGAGAAGCAACAAAGGGATCGCTCTGAAACTTGACAGGTACCTTAGTGAAGATATGGTACGACAACAAGGCAACGCAGCTTACTATAGGATTCTTGCTCTCAGAGAAAATGGCCAGAAACGGACAGCTATTGCCAGGTAATTCAACATTTATCAGGAACCGTTTGTGAAGTCCTCTAAAGAAATGCTGCTACAGGGGCACCTACTCCAATACCTCGACCAGGGTGTCCGCGTATCACACCAAGAAGACAGGATCGCCTTCTCCTTAGTGGACGCCGTGCTGGTCGTACAAAGACAACCAGTGTCCTCAGAAAAGAGAGGCAGAATGTCATTCAATCGCCCGTTTCAAGGTCCCACGTGAACAAGAGATTTCTGCAAGCCGGTTATTTTGCACGAAGGCCAGTAGGGAGACCACTGTTAACAGCAGGTCAT